GCTGCTACCCAAAAGGAATTACGTATTTAATAATTATACATGAAGGGGACCCTATTCCTTGCAAAACTACATACATAGAATATAGGTCCCCAGTGAAAATATTCATCATTTTTTTCAGAATGCCACCTAATTCCATTGGTTTACATTGCAAAATATGTTTTTTTCATAGTTCTACGGCGCCGGTCGTGGGGGGCACCCCTCGGTGAGCTTGAAAAACTCATTTTTTTTTAAACAATATGAAAAGAAATTGATCATTTCGGAGGACCTGTTTCTTGTTGAAACGTTCAAGTTTAGGAACTTCAGACATCCAGGGGTGCTACTCCCCAAAGGGAATTACGTATATGATATATATATATATATAGATATATACCCTTCTACTTTTACATGGAAGAGACCCAATTCCTTGCAGAAACACATACATAGAATATAGGTCCCCAGTGAAAATATTCATCTTTTTTTTTAGAATGCCACCCAATTCCATTGGTTTTCATTGCAAAATAGTTTTTTTTCATAGTTCTCCGACACCGTTCGTGGGGGGTACCCTTTGGTGAGCTTGAAAAATTCATTTTTTTAATACAATATAAAAAGAAATTGATCATTTCGGGGGACCTGTTTTTTTGTTGAAACGTTCCAGTTTAGGAACTTCAGATATCCAGGATTGCTGCTACCCAAAAGGAATTACGTATTTAATAATTATACATGAAGGGGACCCTATTCCTTGCAAAACTACATACATAGAATATAGGTCCCCAGTGAAAATATTCATCATTTTTTTCAGAATGCCACCTAATTCCATTGGTTTACATTGCAAAATAGTTTTTTTTTCATAGTTCTACGACGCCGGTCGTGGGGGGTACCCCTCGGTGAGCTTGAAAAACTCATTTTTTAAAACAATATGAAAAGAAATTGATCATTTCGGAGGACCTGTTTCTTGTTGAAACGTTCTAGTTTAGGAACTTCAGACATCCAGGGGTGCTACTCCCCAAAGGGAATTACGTATATGATATATATAGATATATACCCTTATACTTTTACATGGAAGAGACCAAATTCCTTGCAGAAACACATACATAGAATATAGGTCCCCAGTGAAAATAGTTAACCATTTTTTTAGGAACACCAACTAATTCCAGTAGTATTCATTGCAAACTAGTTTTTTTTCATAGTTCTCCGACACCGTTCGTGGGGGGTACCCTTTGGTGAGCTTGAAAAATTCATTTTTTTAATACAATATAAAAAGAAATTGATCATTTCGGAGGACCTGTTTTTTTGTTGAAACGTTCCAGTTTAGGAACTTCAGATATCCAGGATTGCTGCTACCCAAAAGGAATTACGTATTTAATAATTATACATGAAGGGGACCCTATTCCTTGCAAAACTACATACATAGAATATAGGTCCCCAGTGAAAATATTCATCATTTTTTCAGAATGCCACCTAATTCCATTGGTTTTCATTGCAAAATATTTTTTTTCTCATAGTTCTACGACGCCGGTCGTGGGGGGTACCCCTCGGTGAGCTTGAAAAACTCATTTTTTTCATGCAATATATAAAAAAAATGATCATTTCGGAGGACCTGTTTCTTGTTGAAACGTTCTAGTTTAGGAACTTCAGACATCCAGGGGTGCTACTCCCCAAAGGGAATTACGTATATGATATATATAGATATATACCCTTATACTTTTACATGGAAGAGACCCAATTCCTTGCAGAAACACATACATAGAATATAGGTCCCCAGTGAAAATAGTTAACCATTTTTTTAGGAACACCAACTAATTCCAGTAGTTTTCATTGCAAACTAGTTTTTTTTCATAGTTCTCCGACTCCGTTCGTGGGGGGTACCCTTTGGTGAGCTTGAAAAATTCATTTTTTTAATACAATATAAAAAGAAATTGATCATTTCGGGGGACCTGTTTTTTTGTTGAAACGTTCCAGTTTAGGAACTTCAGATATCCAGGATTGCTGCTACCCAAAAGGAATTACGTATTTAATAATAATACATGAAGGGGACCCTATTCCTTGCAAAACTACATACATAGAATATAGGTCCCCAGTGAAAATATTCATCATTTTTTTCAGAATGCCACCTAATTCCATTGGTTTACATTGCAAATATGTTTTTTTCATAGTTCTACGACGCCGGTCGTGGGGGGTACCCCTCGGTGAGCTTGAAAAACTCATTTTTTAAAACAATATGAAAAGAAATTGATCATTTCGGAGGACCTGTTTCTTGTTGAAACGTTCTAGTTTAGGAACTTCAGACATCCAGGGGTGCTACTCCCCAAAGGGAATTACGTATATGATATATATATAGATATATACCCTTCTACTTTTACATGGAAGAGACCAAATTCCTTGCAGAAACACATACATAGAATATAGGTCCCCAGTGAAAATAGTTAACCATTTTTTAGGAACACCAACTAATTCCATTAGTTTTCATTGCAAACTAGTTTCTTTTCATAGTTCTCCGACACCGTTCGTGGGGGGTACCCTTTGGTGAGCTTGAAAAATTCATTTTTTAAATACAATATACAAAGAAATTGATCATTTCGGGGGACCTGTTTTTTTGTTGAAACGTTCCAGTTTAGGAACTTCAGATATCCAGGATTGCTGCTACCCAAAAGGAATTACGTATTTAGTAATTATACATGAAGGGGACCCTATTCCTTGCAAAACTACATACATAGAATATAGGTCCCCAGTGAAAATATTCATCATTTTTTTCAGAATGCCACCTAATTCCATTGGTTTTCATTGCAAAATAGTTTTTTTTTCATAGTTCTACGACGCCGGTCGTGGGGGGTACCCCTCGGTGAGCTTGAAAAATTCATTTTTTAAAACAATATGAAAAGAAATTGATCATTTCGGAGGACCTGTTTCTTGTTGAAACGTTCTAGTTTAGGAACTTCAGACATCCAGGGGTGCTACTCCCCAAAGGGAATTACGTATTATTGAATTTCACGAGGTCTTGGGGTTTTGGGATTGTTAGGGTATATTGGGTTTGAAAGTCAAAATGCATCAGTTCGAGCAACCTGCGCGCAGAAGGGTCGTGAGGAAAAGTGTTAAATGTTGTGATTTTTGTTGAATCAGTGGTCCACAGGTCCAACTGGCGTTCCAGAGAAACTGAAACAGTCGGAAACAGTCGGAAACAGTCGGAAACAGTCGGGAGACGCCCGGCGTGATCATGCCAAAATTGTCAATCCGCCATCTTTTTGCAAAAAAAAAATCCGCGCAATCCCATTTTATTTTTGAAAGTGCAACAGGAAACAGTTGGAAACAGTTGGGGCTCGTACCTTTGACTCGGCAAAAAAACAGCTATTTAAAAGCAGTTTATAAAGAAAATGAACCTTAAATGGTTTTAAATAGCTCGTTTTTTGCCGAGTCAAAGGTACGAGCCCCAACTGTTTCCAACTGTTTCCCGTTGCACTTTAAAAAAAAAATGGGATTGCGCGGAAAGTATTTGTTTGGCAAAAAAAATGCGGATTGACAATTTCGGCATGATCACGCCGGGCCGTTCCCGACTGTTTCCGACTGTTTCCGACTGTTTCCGACGGTTTCCGACTGTTTCCGACTGTTTCCGACTGTTTCAGTTTCTCTGGAACGCCGGTTGGACCTGTGGACCACTGATTCAACAAAAATCACAACATTCAACACTTTTCCTCACGACCCTTCTGCGCGCAGGTTGCTCGAAATGATGCATTTTGACTTTGAAACCCAATATACCCTAAAAACCCCAAGACCTCGTGAAATTTAACATTACGTATATGATATATATAGATATATACCCTTATACTTTTACATGGAAGAGACCAAATTCCTTGCAGAAACACATACATAGAATATAGGTCCCCAGTGAAAATAGTTAACCATTTTTTAGTAACACCAAATAATTCCATTAGTTTTCATTGCAAACTAGTTTTTTTTCATAGTTCTCCGACACCGTTCGTGGGGGATACCCTTTGGTGAGCTTGAAAAACTTATTCTTTTAATACAATATAAAAATAAATTGATCATTTCGGGGGGCCTGTTTTTTTGTTGAAACTTTCCAGTTTAGGAACTTCAGATATCCAGGATTGCTGCTACCCAAAAGGAATTACGTATTTAATAATTATACATGAAGGGGACCCTATTCCTTGCAAAACTACATACATAGAATATAGGTCCCCAGTGAAAATATTCATCATTTTTTTTCAGAATGCCACCTAATTCCATTGGTTTACATTGCAAAATAGTTTTTTTTTCATAGTTCTACGACGCCGGTCGTGGGGGGTACCCCTCGGTGAGCTTGAAAAAGTCATTCTTTTAAAACAATATGAAAAGAAATTGATCATTTCGGAGGACCTGTTTCTTGTTAAAACGTTCTAGTTTAGGAACTTCAGACATCCAGGGGTGCTACTCCCCAAAGGGAATTACGTATTTAATAATTATACATAAAGGGGACCCTGTTCCTTGCATATTCTATGTGGGCGGAGCGGCTTATATATTGAAATACCTACATAATATATATATATGATTATATATAATTATATATATATATTTTGTCATCCCTATGCATGAGTATATACGGGTAATTGCGTAATATCTTGAAGTAAATGGGCCACTTTGAAAACAACAATATTCTACCTACCCCTCCAAACCATATTCCAACTACCAGTTTTCGACCTCCCCGGGGGGAGGGGTCGAAATATTCCAACTACCTGTTTTTTTTTAAGTGGCCGACATCCAACATAATTCCAACATAAATCCCGCACCCTCCAAAAAAATATTCTATCTACTTCAGGATCACTATATATCTATATATGTATTTATCTATGCCTATGCCTCATTATGCCTCAATATGTGTAGGAAATGTGTTTCTATATATATGTATATATGTGTATATATACACATCTGTGTGTGTGTGTGTGGGGGGACATGCTCGTAAACCAAATCAAACACATCATTCTGAAATCTTGGCTGAGAATTTAGCCCCCAGTTTAACATAAGAACAAGGTTATGTTTACCACCATCTATGACAAGCCTGGCTATGACGATTACTTGGAGTTGGAGCCGCTTGGCGCAGATACCGCAGGGGACCAGAGGTTGACATCATTGGACATCCATAAATCCCAGCGATTTTGCCGTGAACAAAGGTACGTACCATGGTTTTGATCCATACCCATAGTATGCAATTCATGTTGGACGTTACCCTGTGGTAATTTCCGCATAGCTATGGAGAATTGGATGCTTTTTGGATGCTTCACATATCCAAAAATGTCATTGTGCATAGTACATTTTTATATATATAATTATTTATATACGTTTATATATATATATATATCTATTACATTGTCAGACTGATTTTTTGAGCTACCGTATATCCATTTGGCAGCTTGAAGAGTCCAAAAAGGCCAAGGGCGCACAGGCCGAATCATCGCTTAAGCGCAGCTGCAGGGGATAAACATGGGATAAACAAGAACTACTTGGGGCTGCAGTTTTTGGGGTTTAATGGTAGCATGGGATACATCTTGGGAAAATATGGGAAAATGTTATGGGATAAATTAGGTACAGCTATCTCCAGTTTCATCAGCGGCATTACCCGCATAAGTTGGGATATAGATTGCCTCCTGGTAGTACCATGGTTTGATATCCAGTAAATGGAACCACACCCCTGCTGTGGGGGAAATGAGGCTTTTGTCCGTTTCATTGCGTCTTGTGGGAAATGATATGGCATGTTGTTTCCAACGGTTGGGTTCCAGGAGGGGATGACCCTAGGCTGTTGCATTTTTGGGAGTAAAGGGTGACCAAAACCAGAACCATTCCAGTAAGACTACCAGACTACCAGAAGGCTGGTGGGAGCAATAGGTCTCAACCTTGTACAGAAATTGCTTGGACCTGATCTCTGGTTCAAACATGCTACTCATACTGTATCAGCGAATGTTTGGAGGTGAAACTGTGAGAAATTAGAAACCATCCATTATCTTGATACGTGAAATTCCGATTTGCAGATTCCCCCATGTTCGATGCTTAGATTTCCAAAGTTTAATGTTTAAACGTTTCCCATTTCTTCCATGCATGCTTAAATCCCTCCAACGATCAAACCCAACAAATTGGGACAACAATTGAACCATCAAGATCAACCATTAAAAAGATTTAAAAAGGGGGATTCATCCATAACTTGCATACCCTCTTGTAATCAAGCACAGCTTGCGAAAATCACCCTTTCAAAGGGGACTGTCCCATTGACCCCTTCATGTTTAGAAATTTATAGCTGATTATCCCATCATTTATAGTGATTTATAGCTGATTTTTCCATTAAAACCTACATTTTTAGTGATTTATAGCTGATTATCCAATTCTAGCCAGCAATCAACCATGGATTGCTGGAAACAAATCTAGTTATAGATCTCATTTACCAGCTATAAACCTCCATTTCGTCCATTTCGTCCTGGGCACCGCCAGGTGGGACGAGATGCCACGTGATGAGTTCGGAGTCCCAGCACACATCCCACCGGAGCTCTCCACCACGATCCGTCACACGTGCCTTGGAGAAGTCCTACGTCGTAAGGGTTGGAAGGGGGTAGCCCTTTATCGCTGGATGGTATTCGGCTAATAATGGGTCAATAATCGGTTAATAATGGTTAATGGATGTTAATGGATGTTAATGGATTGTTTTTTCGTCAATGGGAATTTCATAAGGGGATATCCTCCCAAAATATGGCCTTATATGGTACTAACGTACCTCCATTTTCTAGGATCTTGGAATCATGACTCAATGGCCATTTCAGGATCCGATTCATTGGAGGTAGCTACTAAAAAATAAGCCCTATTTTTGTAAGGCCTATGTAAGGGAATATCCCCACAAAATATGGCCTTATATGGTACTAACGTACCTCCATTTAGGATCCTGGAATTCCAATTGATTTCATGACTTTTCATGGAACATGCCGAACATGCCATTTGTATATCGATTATTATTGGGGTTTCCTATTAAAAATAGTGGTACCTCAAATAATTTAAATAATGGATATGAATGGATATCAATGCATAGTGGATGGATATACCATGATAGTCTCAATGATAGTTGGTTTATTTCATGGAACATCCGAACATTTAAAATGGATGATCTGGGGATACACCCATGACTTAGGAAACCTCCAATCGAATCTGGATGAATTATAGTGACATCATGTCGTGACGTGAGTGGAATGATAGCAAAAAGGAAGGGAAATCATCATGGCAATCTCAGCTATGTTCGGGTTGTGAATCGGTATATTTCAGCCATAATCCCAATATGAGATGGTGAAAGCTCGCTGAAGCACGTTCAAACAAACGGTTGCCATTGATGTGACCTGGACCTGGTGTAATGTGGTAAGTCCAATCATTACGCTCCTGTTTGGGGTATGGTTTATACTTTATACCGTCCTTAGCTGGTAAAATTGGGAATGACTGGGTTTACCACATGATCAAAAACCTCCAGTTTACGTGAAGTCCAAATGAGACCTCAGACTTTCG